GTGGTTTTGGGTCATGAGATGGTTCTGGCAGTCATACCTGCCTCGAAGCTTAACAGCGTCCTCAAACCGTTTCTGGTCCATGGCCTTTTGGACTTCTTGAGTCTGGAAAAAAAAAAAAAAAAGAAGAAAGGTTTTATTGAATTTATTCAAGATTCTAGGGAAAAATGACAATTGGAAATTTTTAATTTGTTAAAATAAACTTAGCTAAATTTCATTTTGTGCTTCCAAACACCCCATCATCTTTGATTGGCAGATGGTTACTGTAACTGTGGGGTGAGAAATCTCACAAGTAAAATGTGTTTCTGTCTGTTTCAAAAAGGTTCATCTGTATTCCTGTCAGGACAGATAAATAACTGCCTGGTGGGAAATTCTCAGACAACTGAAGCCAAGAACTTCCCACAGACATCTGCCAATATTCAGTCAGGACAAGCCTGTTAGTGGTTTATGGAGATGCTCTTACATCATCATTACCAACTGGTCCACAAGCTTCAGATGATCATTAACACACACTACAGTCACTCCATGTGCAGTCGTCTGTACTGGGCCTGTCGTTCCCTCCATAAGTACTGAAGCAAGGATTAAGTCATAACCAAAAGTCAAAAGTTCATATTTTTTGGCAGCATGACGGCTCAGTGGTTAGCACTGTTGCCTCACAGCAAGAAGGTCCTGAGTTCAATCTCGGGTTGGACCTGGAGTCTTTCTGTGTTGAGTTTCTTCTCGTGCTTGCATTGGTTTTCTCTGGCTACTCCGGTTTCCTCCCACAGACCAAAAACATGCATGTTAGTCTGCCTTCAGGTCCAGGCCTCGCTTCCAAAAGAGATCTGTGATCTCAATGGGATTTGCCTGGTTAAATAAAGGTTAATAAATAATAAAAATAATAATAATAATAATAAGTCAGATGACTTTTTCATAATTTGACAAAATGCAAATATCACTAATTTTTCTACCAATCCACTTTTGCTGCCTGTATCTCTACAAACAACTCCATCCTCGTTTCGATGTGACATGTCACACGTATGCAGTGGTGCCAGAAGCATTTGTAATGTGGGGGACACACTGGTGGTGGTGGGGGAGGGGGTGTATGAGGGTCCTCCCCCAGAAATTTCTGAACACAGTACATGCCATTTCCTGCATTCTGGTGTATTTTAACGGGTTGTTAAACATCTATGTTTACCTCCATAAGTAAACACTTGATTAAATAACTATTTTAGAGAGCAACAAGAAGTAGCCTGACCAACAGCACTCCTTGTGTGACTAGAGCACGCACCGCTTTTCTCACACATCATAACGCCCCACCTTCCCACCCTGTCAACAACTGCCAGCACTAACGTAACGCTAAGCTAGCGCACAACACAGAGGTGTTTCCCCCTCCTCCCCCTGTGAAAGCCCTGCCAAGCCAAGTGACCCCAGGGAAACTCTGCAAGCGGTGTGGTGAGTTGTTGTAGGTAATCAGGAAAGAGTGGACTTTTGGTGGTTTGAGT